GAGCTACAGCTCACGACAGGGTCTGCCTTTGGAATAAAATCTGCCAGTCGAAAAAGGGGCTAGCGGGGTCCTTCTAATTTTGAGCTACCATAAACTAACACAGTTCTCTCCCTGCAATGTCTAAAATCGATGATGATGATGATGATGATGATGATGATGATGATGATGGTTGGTCACACAGTCAGCCAGATGTTTAGACTGGATTTGGCATTTCTGTCCACCTATCAAGTCTTTCCCAAGGGCCTGGGATAGGCAGATGTTGTTTGATGGGGTTAAAGGGATCCTCACAGGATAGAAGCTGTTTCAAATAAAGCTGCCTTTTGCAGTTGACTGATGGCGATTTTGTCCATGCCAATGGTCTTCCAGGGGTGCCCCAGATGTTTGGGGATTGCACCCAAGGCGCCTATAACTATTGGGACTATCTTTGTTATTATTATTATCCTTTAACCTAGCGGGCCTCAACTGATGTCTGCTGAAAAAAACCTCACTCGGCTCGCCTCCTCCGGCGCTCTCGCAAAGCAGCGCACGCCGCAGCCTCTTGCAACTTCCACATTTTGCTTCCCTGCAAAGCTCAGCTGCTCTCCCACCCACTCCTGCCCGGGACAGCTGCAAGGCCTGCTCCTGATCTGGATGCCGCCGTGACTCAAGGAAAGGGGGCTGGATCGGAGTGTCCGGCTTGGAGACGAGCAGGATGGGGCTGAGGGAACAGGTGTTTGTCTGAGTTTCCTGCCAGCAGACACCCAGGGTTGGCGATGTTTGGTTGCGTGTCCGTGTTGAGTAAAAGTTTCCTCTTTTCCCAACCTCGACGTGGGCTGGAGAAGGCTTTAAGAGCGGCCGAATAGCGTTTAGCCACGGGACAACGGAGAAGATTGCAAAGGCTGGCCCAATCCAGGTGTGCGCCTCCTGGTACATTTTGAGCCAGCTTTGTAACACACAGGGAACCCCCATCCTTTCCTCTGGCAGACACACCCCGCGCAAAAGGGAGCGTCCCCATTTACAGGGGAGCAGTATTGTCCAGCCGGGGAAAAGCAAGTCAGACTCCCTAGTTTCACTCAGTTACATTTCCAGCTACTTATTTCAATGTGTTTCAAGCTTGGAACTTGAAGATGTGTGGGCTTCAGCTCCCAGATTTCCCCAGCCAGCACCTTAAGAAGGGTGGGCTTCAGCTCCCGAAATTCTGGGAGCTGAAGTCCACACATCCTCAAGTTGCCAAGTTTGAAAAACACTGACTTATTTCATTACTTCTGCAGCTGCCCTGGAAACTTCGCACTGCAGGCTCTGGAGATGCACTGGGAGTGGGGGGAGGATTGCAACCCAGTCACCCCCTAAGAAAACAGAAGGACTTCCCCGGCAAGGTGCCTCACAGGCTGCCCCTCTCTCTGGGATGTCCGCAGGCTGTGGTCAAAAAAGTCAAGATGGCCACCACAACACCGCAATTGAAGCTTTGCCTGGTTTTTAGGTGCCTGTGATGTCTGCACATGTAACCCACATAAAGAAGCAAGGAGAGCTTTGATCACACCATCGTGGCTGCCATCCTGAACTTTTTTGACCACATCCTATATATATATATATGATGTATATTAGTTTGTATTAGTTCTTACTACTGTGGTTAAAAGAGAGTTAACAACAGTAGTAAGAACTAATACAAACGAAAGTAGAATGAGAAAGAAGAATGAGAAAGGGAGAAAGAAAAAGCTAAAACTGCAAAAAAGAAAAAGTAGGAAAAAAGATATAAAGAAGATATAAAGAAGTGGCTTCCAATCTTCTTTACCGCAGTTATCAATGCATTTATCTTTTATCCCCTCTCTCTATGGTTACAACATGACTCTCTTCTTTCTGTAATCCATCCTGTCTAATTATCAAAACCATAAATCACGAGTTCATTTTTTTCTTTTTTATGCAAAAAGCCCCAAAGGGGTTTCCAGTCACCAATAAAGGTGGATAATGTTTTTTCTTTCATCCAACAAGCCAGTTGAGCCACTTCCCTGCTTTGGCCACGTCCTGAGGACCCCTCGCCCCCTCCTCCCACCGCAGTTTGGGGAGCCAGCCTCATTTGGTCTCTCAGCTGGATGGAGCAAAAGAAAGTCTGGACGAAATAAAGCGTTGGGGTAACATCTCCAGAACCAGGGACATGGGGGGGGGGAAATGGGGAGAAATATCC